AAAAAAAATCCTGTGGAGCACAGTTCCACTCACCCACACGGGGTTGCCATGAATTCTAGTCCACTTGACAGCTACTGCTGCTGCTGCTTTTAAATCATTTTATTGGGGGCTCTTACAACATTCCATACATCAAGTGTATCAAGCATATTTGTGCATATGTTGCCATCATCATGTTCAAAACATTTTCTACTTGAGCCCTTGATATAAGCTCCTCCTTTTCCCCCTCTCCCCCACCCTCGTGAATCCTTGATCAATTATATATTGTTATTATCATGTCATATCTTACACTGTTGTCTCCTTTCATCCACATTTCTGTTATTCATCCTTCAGGGGGTGGCTATATATCCAACCTTCTGATGGGTGCCCCCTTTCTCTCCCTGCCCCCTCCCCGACCATTCCCCTACCCCTATGATGTTGCTACTCCCTCTACTGTTCCTGAGTGGTTTATCTGTCCTGAAGTCCATGTGTTGAGAGCTCTTATCTGTACCAAAGTGTGTTCTCCGGTCTAGCCAGATTTGTAAGGTAGAATTGGGTCATGGTAGTGGGGGAGAAGAAGCATTCAGAAACTAGAGGAATGAAGTGTGTTTTGTCAGCGCTATACTTCACCTTGGTTGAATCATCCCTTCCTTAAAACACTACTGTGAGGGGATATCCAGTTGTCTACAGATGGGCTTTAGGCCTCCACTCCAGCCCCCTAATTCACATAGATATTGTTATTTGTTTTGGATCTTTTGATACCTGACACCTGATCCCATCGGACACCTTATGATCAGACTGGTGTGCTTCTTCCATGTGGGCTTATTTGCTTCCCTCCTAGATGGTTGCTTGTTTAACTTCAAGCCTTTAAAGACCCTAGATGCAATATCTTTTGATTGCCAGCACCATCTGCTCTCTTCACCACATTTGCTTATGCACCTATTTTGTCTTCAGCATGTAGGGAAGGTGAGTATCAAAGAATGCCAGGTTGTTAGAACAAAGTGTTCTTGTGTTAAAGGGACCTTGAGTAGAGGCCCAGAGTCCATCTGATATCTTAATACTTAACATATAAATGTATGTACACTGGCCTCTATCCATTTCATTATAAATTAATATATTTACATATCTATATGCCTATAGCTATACTTCTATAAATAGCTTTTGCCTATTTCTTTCCTCTATTTCCTTTCACCTTCCTCCTATCCCACTATTATACTCACCTTCCATTCGGCTCTCAGTAATTCCTCTCAGATACATTGCACTTGATTAAACCCCACCAGGCATTGTACACCCTCCTCACCATCAATTATAGATCTGTTATTGTTCCCTTATCCCTGAGTTTGTTGTCTCCCCACTCCCTCTCCATGCCTCCTCCTCTCCCAAGCCCTCCCCCCACTCCCCAACTGCCAGTCCTGTTGTTTTCTCCTTGGGATTGTTCGTCCTGCCTATCTTATATAGATAGACATAGGGCAAAGGAAAAACAAAAGCAAACAAAACAACAAGAAGAAAAAATAGATATTTCCAGATCTATCTGCTGACCTTTACGAATGTTTTCTGATCAAGTCTGATGAGATGCCAAGCCCTGTCCCCTAAGTCAGAAGTCTATTTTCAGGATTCCTCGGGGACTTTGTTACTTTGCTCCCCTTGCTGCCCTGTTGCACTCCCTTTGCGTTTCATCCCACTGTGTGTGGGGCAGACCTGGCATACTTCTGCAGACTGCTACTGCTTCTTGATTGGCATTTTGACAAGGTCATGGAAGAGTGAAGAATTCTTGGGGAAAAGGTTAGAGTTGGAAATACTGTGGGTATTTTTTGGCTTTAATAAAACTCTCAGGGTATCACAAACAGTAACATCTTTGCTTTCTTAGGAGGAGGAGGCTAACAGAGAAAGAAGACTTAAAGAAGAATGCA